AGACGGGCAGAGATAGAGACAGGTGTGCTGTCAAAGAGAGAGGGGGAGAGAGGGAGACAGGTGTGCCGTTAGAGAGAGAGAGAGAGGGAAACAGACAGAGATAGAGACAGGTGTGCCCTTAGAGAGACAGAGGGAGAGAGGGAGATGGGTGTGCTGTTAGAGAGACAGGAAGTCCTTTCAGTGCTCATACTAAACTCATTTGTTTACTTTGTTTAATACCAGGCCCAGGATGAAAACTGTAACAACTGTGAGCCTGGATAGCTGGCACGCAATGCATTCTGTGACACCTGTCTATCCCAAGTATACAGACAGTAGAGAGAAAAGCACAGACTGACAAAGACTCGGCAGCCATTGAGACCAGCTTTACTGCAGCTCCAGACTCCAATGTGAAACACCAAAACTTGAACCCAGCCCTGGTGCACGCTGCTGCTGTCCTACAGTGCCACCGACCAGAACGGCTTCATCACCCCCCTCCTCCTTCCACAACATGCTTTTCTATGAACTACAGCAGGTCTGTGGGGTGGGAGGGGCAGAGGGATTTCTTGCTCTCTGACAGAAGCAGACAGTTTGTGCATTGTCTGAGAAAAGATGGCTTACACTTTGAAAGCACTTCCAGACCCTGAGAGTTGTCGTTCACTGCAGGAACAAATCACCCTGTAAATACATCAGCAGAGAGGCAGGCATGCTGAAAACCAGCATCAATCCCAGGGAAAACGTACGAGTATATATGAGTTTGAAAGACATAAGGAGTTGATAATATTCCCACCTGCAGCTTCATGTTTGCACGATTTCACAAAGATCTTTTTAAATCATCACAAAGAGACTCTGTAGATTTTATCCAAATGAGCTGATTACTGTTGAATCTTTTATTCCCCCCACCCCCTCTCTATTATCCACCTCCGGTGCTATGGGGGGTGGGGGGAAGCAGGGAGTTTACACATTCATTTAGGGCCCTGCTGCTGCCTGAGTTGCTGCATTACTAATCAGGCAGTCCTCCTTAAAATACAAGCTGAAGACTGCAGCCTTAAGGAGCATTGGGGTTGTTGGAGGGGTTAGGGTTTTAGGGAAGGGGTGCAGCAGTTTGCAGAGAGAGGTGGACCCTCTTCACGAGCTAGTTTTCTACTTCTACATCTGCTCTAACACGCCTGCTGTCAGTCGCTAAGGCTGTGTCCTCATCTCGGGCCTCAAAGCAACAATACGTCACTTTTTTACATTAAAAGAACAGCTTCAAAATCATTTTGATGGCGGACTGCCTTCTGAGGAGGTGGGTGGCATCTCTGCTTATTACAACTGCAAGCCCAGATCATCTGTTGGCGCACTATGTAGTCTAATATGAACTCAACATGTCTGCGCCTTCTGATCGGTCATTTTTTGATCACTTACATTTACCCAAGTATGGCATGGGATTTTTATATGCACATAAATCAGAGAGTGGCCATGGAAGAGGCTAAAAAGCCTGGCTTGGATTCTGATTCTGTTTTATAAACATGCTGATTGTGTGAAAAGCAAAGTAACCCAGAACTGCTGCCAGGGTTTCAATGACAAAGAAACTGTATTTATAACTGTATAAATTATTCCACAGCATATTAAACCCTGACTCTCCAGTAAGCCCGGCACTTTTATTCACATGTGGTTATTTATTAATTCCCCTCAACAATGAGCGTGGTGGAGCCCCATTGTTTCAGGGGATCAATTTAATCCACAGGCAGCCAGAGCAACCGCCTGCATCAGGACCCAGGGGCCGCCGCTCGCCATTCAGTGTTTGTTCACACCGGGGCACCTCTGATTGTCTCAAAGGTCACTCATTTACAGACTCTCCAGGCTGGAGAGCAGAGACTCATCCCTCCTGGAGACAGCCCAGGAGAATACTGAGAGTGATATCAGCAGGTATCAGAGAGCCACATATAAGAGCTTTTTGAAGGCACCTGGAATTTGATTAAAGAGGGATTTATTTATAAAGGAATAAAGTATGCTGCTGACCGATGCAACACAATGTTCACCGGCCTAAGATCTGGTGGGAAGTGGCTCCGTCCTTAGAAACGACCATGAACCAATACACCTTAATGTGGAAATTATCACGAGCAGCAACAGACAGGCACAGTAAGGTGAAAAAGCTCCAACCAACACTGCTCTTGTTATTAAATACCCACAGTACAAGCTACAGAGCAGGAAAAACTCCCTGGCACCAAAAATGGAGAGGAAAAAAAAAAAAAAACAAGGTCTTTAAAAATGTCATGGATTAAATAAGTCAACAAATGTAGGCAGCCTATTTCTGCCATCTTCAAACAAACTGGAAAGAATTCACCTTCCTGCAGCTCTGACTGAGCTACATGTTGTTGGAGACACTGGTTTGAGCAGCAGTTAGCACCGGAGCTACTTTTCCTGTAAAGTTATTATCAAAAGGTAAACTAACATAACAAACAGATATTTAAGGGATGCCATTTTTAATGAGTTTTAAGAAATATTGGTCTACAGTAGCATGAAAACAAATCCACTGATTCACACCTCAAAGGAGCCCTAACGTTCTAACAGGGGGTGACTTTATTGATATTTGGTAAATCTGAAGGGTTTTTTTCAGCTCTTAAAAATCTCTATCTATGCAGAAACTCCATCAAACCCTTAATGAATTTCAATCTTTTAACTATGC